GTCACTTACATCATCATCACCGCATCTCGCGCACCACTGATGACGCTCCCTGACGCACTCCTAACATTCGATTGTACCATTTTTGCATTCAAATGCTAATGTTTATTTTAAATTCAACTAATATTCATTTTTTTATTCACAATCTCCTCATCACAGGCAGGCACAGCACTCAATTCAGCATGTGTTCGTGTTTGTATGAGCTGTCTGCGTCACTCATAGCACGTGCCTATATCATGCGCTATATCGAACATTTTTTATATCGTTATCGATGACGGTGTACCGTGGATAAATATCGATACCGTTTTATCGCCCAGGCCTACAATAATAGCAGATTAGAGCTGGACAATAATTTTAGTTTTTGCAACAATAAAAGTGGATGAGAGTTGCTACATAGCACTTTATTGTTAACTGATAAACTGCAATGCACTTATAGTGTATATCTAACTTTATATAAAGAGCTGGGCAATAATATAGTGACATTCTGCAATAAATAAATATATATATATATATATATATAAATCTGCAAAAAAATTTAAAAAAAATTCTCTACCAAACATTTCTTTGGAGTTTGTGAGCTTGTGAGGAAATATTTCCAAAGCCTTTCACAACAGGCCAAGTGGAAATATTGGATATCAGAAATGAAGGGATGAAAGATGATAGAGAGGAAGAGAGGGGGCATAGGAATGGATGGGTGAGGATCAAAGCTGCCCCTTGCTGAAGGGTCTGGAATGTAGTGCGTCTCACTGCCAACGAAAAAATCCATCTGACACAGCTGTTTCCCGGCTGGGTCCCGACACACAATGCACCAAAAACAATACTGCCCATAATGCCAGGGCCAATCAAATTCACAGCCAATGTTTCTGGCATTGCCCCAATGTCACCTGTGTGCAGAAATCCCTGTCTGGCTCCGGACCAGCTGTGTACTGACTCCAGACCAGGATCTCACAATCAACACAGTTTTTTACTGTCATCAAAAAAAGAAAAAAAATGCACTGAAATCATGAAGGAAAGGAAAAATTTGTTTATCAGTACAATTGTATTTAAAGTAGGTCTGTTGATTTAACACGTTACAATTAGGGCTGTCAAAAAAAAATAAAAATTTGAATTTCGAATATTCGTCAAATTTTAAAAAAATAATCCACATTGTAGATGTGCGTCAGGCTGCCTTATCAGTGGCACACAAGATGCGATGGCGATGTTGTTGCATTTTAATGTTTTACATAGCTTATCCAGTTGAACCCATTAGATGCAGCGCTGCTACATAGTTCATTCAAAATATTGCGGGAAAAGAGAACATCAATGCGGAGAAGATCTTGTTTACATCAAAACTGAAACCAAGCCGTTCACACAGAATGCATATTTATCGCATTTTCTAGAGGGACATCTATCACCGTTGCACTCGCGTCTCGCACAAGGGAGTCGCATGTTTAGAAAGCCATGTAAAATTCATGTAAGTTCAACTTTTAAAAAAACATGTCTCAAGACTTTATGGCGTTTTTTTCCCCATCCCACTGCATCTCATGTTTTTAAATGAAAAAGTACTCTTTGTGATTTTTTCGTTTTCTGTCCTTTGTATTAAAGGTGCAGTGCATACATTTTAGCAGCATCTAGCGGTGAGGTTGCGAATTGCATTGTTTAAGCAACTTAATTAATTATATATGGTTTATAAATATTATAACACATTAAACATTATGCACAATTTTTAAAGATAGGCGTGTTATTTTATTGCTTTGAAGAAACGTGCATTAGTAATATTTTGCTCGATGCGCCCTCTTGTGGCCTCAGGAGAGAAGCCAAAAGCTTTTTTCCCCCTAACTGAAATTATGCCTTTTAAATTTGAATATAATTAGAATATTGATCATATTTTTTACAGTTATTTTTATGCCTTTTTTATTGAGATACTACAGTAGAGAGATGACAGGAAAACACTGGGAGGAGAGAGGGGAGCGGGATCGGCAAAGGACCTTGAGACGAGAATCGAACTCGGGTCGCCATGAGGGCAGTTGCACTGTGTCGATGCACTAACCACGAGGCTATTGGCGCCGACAAATATTGATAATATTTAAGTACAAAATTCAAATTGAGTTTTTCAGCCATTTTGACAGCCCTAGTTACAATTGGTAATTTGGGGTAAAAAAATGTATTAAAATTATCAATGCATTTAACACACCCACCCCTCACAGATCTGTATGGAATGAAATTAGTCTCAAATTTACTAACAAATGCATGCACAATTATCCATGAACTTGATAAATGTTGCAAATGCATCTTACTATCCACAACCAAGTGCCTGTCAACTGTGAAATTCAGAATTACATGAACATGCAGAGGTTTGTACAAATAGAATAATGTTTGTGAATACAGATGCTTTCTTTTGCATTATCAGAATTTGTGCATGCAACATGGAAGATGTGCATTTGTGAATCAAGTGGCACGTGTGCATTTGTTGGCGTCGTTTCCATTTGATTCATTTGGATTTTGAGACTTTCTTTGCGCAGTTTTCAGCATTTCACAACCCACGCACAAACAACTACCAATAATTAAGCCCCAATGCTATTCATTAATGTGTGCACATCTACCCATCGATTTGAAAAATTCACAAATACAGTCAGGTCCATATTTATTTGGACCCAGGCACAATTTTTATTATTTTAGCTGCTGACCAAACCATTTTCAAGTTACAGTTATATAATGAATTAATGAAATAACGGCTTAAAGTGCACACTCTGTGTCACAATTCTCGGGAGGCAAGGAGCGAGGAACGAGGAAACACGGAGATACTTCAATTCACAGTCTTTAATGATCACACGGGGAACGTAGGAGACACAGGAACACATGGAATGACGTTTGAGGACCGACCAACACTAACTGAAAGGACTGGGGCT